TAAGTAAGCATGAGTCAACTTGTCTTTCGCAGCAGTGCAAAGCAAAACAATTAAAGTGTAAGCACTCACTAAAGAGACCTGCACATGATTATAGACAGCTCAGTGTGCAATGGCAGCAAATCCCCATTCTACCTTCCACCTCCCCCCATCTGCCCCCCCCCCCCCCCACACACAAAGAGACTATAGAAAAAAAAATACTGAAAATATAATACCATTATATAACATTATATAACACTTCGAGTGCTGTGTTCACTTCTGGTTATCTCATCAGAAAAAAGGTACAGCTGAAATGGAAGGGGGCCAGATGTGGGCAACAAAAATGATTTAGAGACTTGGAAGACTGCATATGTGAAAAGATTATAAAGATTAATACTGTTTCATTCAGTGAAGAGGTGATTAATTGAGGACATGATAGAGTGAAGTAACAAATGAGATTCACTATGTATACTGGGTGCTCCTTATTACTGTCTCACATGAAACAATAAAGGGACATCTGATCAAAATGAGAAGCAAAAAATTTAAAACTGAATAAAGGAAATATTTTCTTAGCTTGCAGCACTTGTTGCCATTAATGGCAAACAATTAGTAGGATTCAAAAAAGGATTTAATATTTATACGGATAATGTAAACAACCACATTTACGTTAGGATAAAAATGCATAAGGGATATAAACCGTCCTGCTTCATGGCGTAAGTCAATCATTGACCAACGGGGTCGGGAATAAACTTTTCCTTTAGCCGGTGTATTCCGTCATTGGATCCCTTATTGCACTTTAGATGAAAGTTAAATAGTAGTAATCCTGAGGGGCCATAAATAACCTGAAAAAATAACTTCCACATAATCAGTTTAGATTTCTTGTTTTTTGAATGTTGTGTTTTATGATATGTACGGCTGGGTCTTGTGCTATACCAATGACAGTTTAATATTAAAGTATTCATTATGCTGATGAGAATACTCTGGACCAGAATCCTACAGTCCATCATTACTCAAACAAAACTATCATTGACTTTCATTTCAGTGGTATTTTTGACCAAGAAAGAGTCCTAGGATTTGGTTCTTGAAGTTCATTGAATCATAGAAGATTAGGGTTGGAAGAGACCTTAGGAGGTCACATAGTCCAACCCCCTGCTCAAGCAGGAACAACCCCAACTAAATCATCCCAGCCAGGGCTTTGTCAGCCGGGCCTTAAAAACCTCTAAGGATGAGATTCCACCACCTCTCTAGGTAACCCATTCCAGTGCTTTCACCTAGTGAAATAGTTTTTCCTAATATCCAACCTAGACCTCCCCCACTGCAACTTGAGACCATTGCTCCTTGTTCTGTCATCTGCCAGCACTGAGAACAGCCTAGCTCCATCCTCTTTGGAACCCCTCTTCAGGTAGTTGAAGGCTGCTATCAAATCCCCCCTCATTCTTCTCTTCTGCAGACTAAATAAGCCCGGTTCCCTCAGCCTCTCCTCGCGAGTCATGTGCCCCAGCCCCCTAATCATTTTCATTGCTCTCCGCTGGTCTCTCTCCAATTTGTCCACATCCTTTCTGTAGTGGGGGGCCCAAAACTGGATGCAACACTCCAGATGTGGCCTCACCAGTACAAAATAGAGGGGAATAATCACTTCCCTCGATCTGCTGGCAGTGCTCCTATTAATGCAGCCCAATATGTCATTAACCTTCTTGGCAATAAGGGCACACTGTTGACTCATATCCAGCTTCTCGTGCACTGTAATCCCCAGGTCCTTTTCTGCAGAACTGCTACCTAGCCATTCGGTCCCTAGTCTGTAGCAGTGCATGGGATTCTTCCATCCTAAGTGCAGGACTCTGCACTTGTCCTTGTTGAACCTCATCAGGTTTTTTTTGGCCCAATTGTTATACCAATAGAATAAAAACCAGCCTGTAGCAGTGCATGGGATTCTTCTGTCCTAAGTGCAGGACTCTGCACTTGTCCTTGTTGAACCTCATCATATTTCTTTTGGCCTAATCCTCCAATTTGTCTAGGTCCCTCTGGACCCTATCCCTACTCTCCAGTGTATCTTCCTCTCCCCCCAAGCTTAGTGTCATCCGCGAGCTTGCTGAGGGTGCAATCCATCCCATCATCCAGATCATTAATGAAGATGTTGAACAAAACCAGCCTCAGGACCGACCCCTGGGAAACTCCTCTTGATACCGACTGCCAACTAGACATCGAGCCATTGATCGCTACCCGTTGAGTCCGACGATCTAGCCAGCTTTCCATCCACCTTATAGTCCATTCATCCAATCCATACTTTTTTAACTTGCTAGCAAGAATACTGTTGGAGATTGTATCAAAAGCTTTGCTAAAGTCAAGATATATCACATCCACCGCTTTCCCCATATCCACAGAGCCAGTTATCTCATCATAAAAGGTAATCAGGTTGGTCAGGCATGAGTTGCCCTTGGTGAATCCTGGTTGTCTGTTCCTGATGACCTTCCTCTCCTCCAAGTGCTTCAGAATGGATTCCTTGAGGACCTGCTCCATGATTTTTCCAGGGACTGAGGTGAGGTGAGGCTGACCAGTCTATAGTTCCCCAGATTCTCCTTCCCTTTTTTAAAGATGGGTACTATATTTGCCTTTTTCCAATCGTCTGGGACCTCCCCCGATCACCATGAGTTGTCAAAGATAATGGCTCTGCAATCTCATCAGCCAACTCCCTCAGCACCCTCAGATGCATTAGATCTGGACCCATGGACTTGTGCATGTCCAGCTTTTCTAGATAGTCCTTAACCTGTTTTTTCACCACTGAGGGCTTCTCACCTCCTCTCAGCAGTCTGGGAGCTGATCTTATCTGTGAAGACCGAGGCAAAAAAGCATTTAGGATTTCAGCTTTTTCCACATCATCTGTCACTAGGTTGCCTCCCCCATTCAGTAAGGTTCCCACACTTTCCCTGACCACCTCCTTGTTGCCAACATACCTGTAGAAACCCTTTTTGTTACTCTTCACATCCCTTGCTATCTGCAACTCCAATTGTGCTTTGGCCTTCCTGATTACACCTCTGCATGCTCAAGCAATATTTTTATACTCCTCCCTAGTCATCTGTCCAAATTTTCACTTCTTGTAAGCTTCCTTTTTGTGTTTAAGCTCACCAAAGATTTCACTCTTAAGCCAAGCTGGTCGCCTGCCATATTTCCTATTCTTTCTGAACATCAGGATGATTTGTTCCTGCGCCCGCAATAAGGCTTCTTTAAAATACAGCCAGCTCTCCTGGACTCCTTTTCCCCCTCATATTAGCCTCCCGGGAGATCCTGCCCATCAGTTCCCTGCAGGAGTCAGTCTGCTTTTCTGAAGTCCAGGGTTTGTATTCTGCTGCTCTCCTTTCTTCCTTTTGTCAAGATCCTGAACTCGACCATCTCATGGTCACTGCTGCCCAGGTTGCAACCCACTTCTACTTCCCCTACCAATTCTTCCCTGTTTGTGAGCAGCAGGTCAAGAGGAGCATGGCCCCTACATGTTTCCTCCAGCACTTGCACCAGGAAATTGTCCCCAACGCTTTCCAAAAACTTCCTAGATTGTCTGTGCACTGCTGAATTACTCTCCCAACAGATGTCAGGGTGATTGAAGTCCCCCATGAAAACCAGGGCCTGTGATCTGGAAACTTCTGTTAGTTGTCCGAAGAAAGCCTCATCTACCGCATCCTCCTGGTCTGGTGGTCTATAGCAGACGCCCACCACGACATCACCCTTGTTGCTCTCACTTCTAAATTTAACCCAAAGACTCTCAACAGGCTTTTCTCCAGTTTCATACTGGAGCTCTGAGCAATCATACTGAGCTCTTACATACAGTGCAACTCCTCCACCTTTTCTCCCCCACCTATCCTTCCTGAACATTTTATACCCATCCATGACAGTGCTCCAGTCATCTGAGTTACACCACTAAGTTGCTGTTATTCCTATCACATCATATTTCCTTGACTGTGCAGGACTTCCAATTCTTCCTGCTTGTTTCCCAGGCTTCTTGCGTTTGTGTACAGGCACCTAAGATATCTAGTCGATTGTTCTACTTTCTCAGTGTGAATCAGGAGACCTATCCTGTTGCACCTTCCTCCTTGTGTTTCCTCCTGGTATCCCACTTCCCTACTTACCTCTGGGCTTAGGTCACCATCCCCTGGTGAACCTAGTGTAAAGCCCTCCTTACTAGGTTAGCAAGCCTGCCTGCGAAGATGCTCTTCCCTTCCTTTGTTAGGTGGATCCCATCTCTTCCTAGCACTCCTTCTTCCTGGAACAACATCACATGGTCAAAGAATCCAAAGCCCTCTCTCCGATACCACCTGCGTAACCGCGCATTTACTTCCACAATTCGATGGTCCCTACCTGGGCCTTTTCCTTCAACAGGGAGGATGGACGTCTTGTGCCTCAAACTCCTTTAACCTTCTTCCCAGAGCCACGTTGTCTGCGGTGACCTGCTGAAGGTCATTTTTGGCAGTATCATTGGTGCCCACGAGGAGAAGTAGGAAGGGGTAGCAGTCCGAGGGCTTGATCAGTCTCCGCAGACACTCCGTCACATCCTGAATTCTAGCTCCAGGCAAGCAGCACACTGCCTGGAGTTGTATGTTAACTATTGAATCTGTGTGGATTTATAATTAAAATCAGTTAACAGTAATAGTACTGTAATAATGGCTTATACATACACAGAGCCACAGGAAGAATGCTAACTTTTTAATTGTTCCATATGTTCAACTTGCAGCCAAACAGCCAGTTAGTCCAGGATCAGCTATTCTGCATCCAACCCTTTCTCAGAGTTTGACTGTAGATGAGACCATAATGCCTGTTACTACAAGTGATAGAGCATATGTAGCTGACACAGAACCAGAAGAACCATGGTAAAGTACACCTTGAAATAGTTTCCTAAGTTGATGTCTATAAATAAGGCTATTACCATGTCAGAGGAAATTTGAGCCAGTTATAGACTTGCCATAGTCAGTGGGGCTCAGCATTTGATGCGGCACTCCCTAACTTGCAAAAGTAAACTGTGGTCACTATCCACAGTGGTCCAACTTCTGCCTTGAAGTGATAGGGTACAGCAAGAAAGCCAGCTGGGGCATCAGGTTTGACACTAGAAGATGCAATTGGTGATGCAGCAGATCTGATTGGCTGTTTTAACCATGTTCAGAATTCTAAAGCAATTTCATAATTATCTAGATCATCTAGTCATAGCAGGTATTAATATTAATTTATATAGCTTCCATAAGTGTTCGTTGTATACCACAGGTACAGCTGCATTACTGTGGTGCTCTGTAATGTGTATGCTGTTTCTACAATGATTGCCTGTATGTTTACTTAGTATTTTTTCCTCCCTTTTGTGTAGTATGGAGATAAGCGGAGAGGAGACAGAGAAAACTCCCAAAATGGATCGAAGAGACAAAATGTATTCACAGAATATAACCAGTGTAAAGGAGACTCCCAGCACTAGTGGCAGTGTAAATACAGGGACGGTATTACCCAGGATGCATAGAACGCTTGTGGTTGACCAAAAAAGTCAACCCCTCTCACCCTCTAAAATTTTAGGAGTTAATAGAAATAGAGAGAGAGCTTCACAGCAAGAGTCTAACTCCATTAAACATTATTTCCAGGCAGCTCCAAAGAAAAGGTATGTTCACGGAAATTCTTTTTTTTGGGGGGGTGGTATTTTTCATATTGTCAGATGGTGCTATTTTTGTTTTAGAAAGTAATTTGTTTTAGTTCAAGGGGCATACATTTTATTCCCAATGTAGATTTTACTACCTCACTAAGAAATTGAATTCCTCTATTCATTTTTTATTTTAAACTGGCCATTTCTAGGTATCTGTTTCCCCAAACAGAAAAGTGTATGCTAAGGTTGCTCAGATTCAAATCCCAACACAATCATGAAAAATGCAGAAAATCGTCAGTTGAGGCATATAAATAAAGATTGCCTTAACTCCCACTTGTATTATGCAATGTTCATGCAGACTCCCATGGACACCCAACAAACTCCCATGGACACCCAACATATAGCTAAGCACAGTGCACACAACCAAGTGCTCTAAACGCGTAAGCAACATTACAAAATCAAAATGAAGAAAATCATCACTTGTGGATTTTTGGATTCATATTCAGTGATTGTGCGTTGTTCACTTACTGAGTTTATCATGTTGAAAAATTCTTTGTTTCTTTCTGGCTAAGGGAAAGGATTGAAGAGGGAGAAACATCTGTACCTAAACTGGCAAAGATGGAGGAAAAATCATCTCCTCTTTCCAGTCAAACCCAACCCACAACTTCCTTGATGTGGAAAAGTAAAGTGGAACAGACTCAAAAGGAACAATATACCTTGGACCTGAAAACAAACCTTTCACCTGTAGATACAAGCCTAAAGCTTGCAATAGAAAGTAGCAAATCAGAGAAAGATAAAACTGTTACTAAAAATGTTTCCAGTGAAAAGCCTGCATCAAAGAAGAGAAAAGAGTTAAGTGATTTAGTTGAGGATGCAGCTACACTAGAGCTTGTGTTTGGGAGCAAAGAGCTGGATTGGGAAGCTGAAATGGGGGATTGTGGTGAGGAGCATGGAACCAATATGCAGAAAAAAAGACGTTTGGAAACGAAGGGGAAAAGGATTGAAGAAGAAAATGTAATTCAAGAAGAAGCCAATAGGATATTGGTAAGTAATGTTCTTTATTAATCACTTGTTATGGACCTGATCCTGCAAGTTACAGCATCATTGGAGGAGCCTGTGCAGCAGCATCTTGCAAGATTAGACTGTTAGCACAGAGACAAATGCAGCTTAAGAACAGATACCAGCTTTGAGCAGTTTGAATGCATTGTATTAGCTCTCATGCCGTTATAAACGAGCAGTAGGTATAGTCTGGGGATTTTATGTAAACATTTTGATGAATGAGTTAAAATACACCTCTACCCCAATATAACGCTGTCCTCGGGAGCCAAAAAATCTTACCGCGTCATAGGTGAAACCGCGTTATATCGAACTTGCTTTGATCCGCCAGAGTGCACAGCCCCGCCCCCCCCTACCCCCCTCCCGAGCACTGCTTTACCGCGTTATATCCAAATTCGTGTTATATCGGGGTAGAGGTGTATAGACTTCCTTGCTCTCCAGAAGTCACTATCCTGTAGCGTTTTTAGAGTTTATTTCCCCAGATGGAGGCACTTTGTAACTTTAAACCGGCATCAGTTATTTACACTTCATACTTTCTTTCTGAAGTTGTCAATTTGCTCTTGTTAAAGAAATACAGCCTTTGTAAGCAGAACAGCCAATCCTTTTCCTGTCCTGAAGAGAAGTTTTTTAGTACAATGTGCAGTTATTGTTATTAACTGTTATGCTCCTGAATTCCCAGGAGAAACTGTGTCAAGCTCCTTTCCAGCCAGAGAATTTCTGTACCTGTGTGTTGGGTGTCAGCAAGATGATATATTGTCAGATCATTATGTATTCTTAGCGTTCTCACCTAATAGCTCTCAAATAGCTACGCCCCATATGTGAAACAGAGACACTAAGCTGCATAGACAGATGTCTGATCTGATATGGGGTTAATTTCTTCACTATTTTTCTTAAACTATAAGTATATTGCAGCTTAAATATTTTAGCAAACCTTATGGGTTTATGAAAATCACTGTAAGTGATGAGTATCTGAAACATTTTGGTTGAATGTAAACAGCTCTTGTGACTTTTTTCTCTTTTTCCCCCTTTGGAAATATGCCTCTGTTTGCCACAGAGATTCTTTCCTAAGTAAAGCACTATCCCATTTTTGCCCTCCAAACATGCTCTTCTGTATGCTGACTCCATATATCAGTCTTTGTTGGGCTGCCACAGTAAATCAGACACACTTGTATGCACAATAGTAAATTAACTAATGTTGCTCGCCAATGAAAACTCCTTTTCTAGAGGTACATTCTGAAGTTTTGAAAGCATGCCACTTGGAAAAGCCAAGAATGTGTCAACAAAACTAGTCCCAGATTAGCATGCTGTGTGACCTTTAGCTAAACAGCAGATATTGGACACACAGGTTACACAACTTTTTTTATCTTCAGATTGTAGAAAGAAAACAGAGTTTTAAATGTTCTTATTTAACATTTATATAGCACCATAAATTTATACAAAACTTGTAGAAATGTAAAACTGTTCTTACTTGGGTGACCAGATAGCAAGTGTGAAAAATCATGACGCTTTTTTTTCCGCCGGGGGCAGGAGGAGGAAATATAGTTGCATATACAAGACAACTCCTAACACTGGGAATCTTGTCACCCTAGTTCTTACACCAAAGAGTGTATAATCAAAGTTAGACAATGTGAGTGATGGCAGCAGGCAAATGGAGGAATAAGGGTTATAACAAATAAAGGCTCATGTGATTGATTGTGTGGTTATGAGCTTGTGATTACTGACTCTTTTAAATTTGAGATTGAAGTAAAGTCCTAGAGGAAGAATAGAAGGCACTGGATGTTTGGTCTAATTAAAAATAAGTTACTTGGAGGAGGACAAGAGAAGATGCTTGGGAGAAGGATATTATTAAAAGCATAGGGGACAAGTGTGTGTATGTGGCGGTGTTAAGGGAGCAAGGATTAGGTTTAATTGACATAGTGGTAAAAACACCACAAGTTGCTGAAGCTTAATCTACACTGGTGGGAAAATGATCAGTGTAGACATGGCCTAAGTGCTGTAATAATAATAATGGAATTTTTTATTTGCGTCAAATAACTCTCCACATTATACAGTAAAGAATCCCCCCACTTCACCTATATTATGGAAGGTCAGCACCGAAAATTACTTGTTTGTTGAAATAAAGGAAGCTGATGACATTCACCTGAAAGAGAGCACTTCTTAAGTTTCTTTAGACATAGTAACTAGAGAATTTATTATAAGCTTAATTCTTCATGTGGTAGACAAGTTCTTGCCTGATAACTGTGGCCTGGAATCTTTTTTTTGTTTGTGTCCTTTTTCAGAGGTCAGATACGTGTTTTTGGACACTTTCTGGAATCTGAGGGTGCAAAGTCTGATTTGTACTGAGATTCTGGTCATGTGGCTGAGGTAAAAGTGTAGACAAGGCTTTAGTTTTCTGGTGTGAAAGAACATGTTTGGTATTGAGCCAAAAATGACAGGGGACTTTTGATAAAAGGCAAAATTTTAATCTAATCTGACCACTTGGGCCACTGCAAGTAAACACTTTAGGAAACGTTGAGTTGATACTAGCACCTTCCCCACCTGATTTTTTCATAACAAACATCATTTGTGACATCAACACACCTTTATAGCAGAAATAGAAAAGCCTTAGAGAAGTTATTAACTATTGAGCAAAATTGTGATGTGTAGTATTATGCTTTCCCTTCTTTAACTACAGGCTGTTAGGAGACTAGCCTTGATCCTAATCACAATTGCTCCCAAATTGACACTTACATTTAGTTATTTCCTGACCATGAACTCTGGGATATACTTTAAAATGGAAAACTAATAGTTTGATTCATACCTGAAAATTTAGTGATTTTCATAATCCTTACTGGTACGATTTTAGGAATTATGAATTCTTAAGGAAAAACACTTGTTTTCTTATACTAAAAAGGTAATCTGAACAAACCAGGGACAGTGGTTTTATTAGAACAATGCATTGCTAAAGTATATGTCCAGGGTATTTTAGGTTTTTTTTGTAAATATGCAGTCATAATTTACATTTACAATGATTGCTCTTCAAAATTGTTTGGTCAAACAGCAGGAAAATGAACTTGGCGCTGTTCCAACTTCAAAGAAGAAAATTGAGATTAAGCAAGAATCATCAGTTTTGGTAAGAAACTAGTCAAATGTAAGGAATACCTAGCATTAGTTAATACTCAGAAATGTGAAGGAAATGTATCAGTTTTTTGCTTTTAAAACTAAGTTCATATGTGTGCAGTGGACATAGGAGGGTTTGATGAATGAGGGCTTATTTAAACATAAAAGTTTTACCATTTTAACTATATCAGTATATAGTCAAAGACGTACAGGTACACCACCAACTTCTCTTATGTGGATGCAGTTACATTGGTATAAAAGTGCTTATCCCAGGTAGATTATTACCATAGGGGAAGGGAGATAAATACACCAGTAGAAGTCATCTTTTATATTGGTGTAACTGTGTCAATAATAGGGCTTTCAGTGGCATAAAATTATTACAGTAGAATAAATCACACCCTTAACCAAAATATTATTATTAACCGTGTTTATTATGGTAGTCATATGCCAAGAATAGGCCCTCCTTGTGCTAGGTGCTGTACAAATAGTAGTAGAATTCCTGTCCCAAAGAGTTTATAATCTGAATAGCCCAGACAGACACAGGGTGGGTGAAGGGGTATAACACACAAGCAAAGTAAAAATATGATGGCAGCAAATGTCATATTGGTTCCATAATTTTGAGGGGTTGGAAGATCAGCTAATTAGAGGGAAAATGAAGGAAGAAGGGGCACTGAAAGAAAGGGTGTGTGTGGACAGGGCAGGGGAGAAGAAGTTAAGAGAGTAGGTGTGGGGTGAAGATGACGTGAAGAGATCATGAGGGGGAGAGGGTTGAAGCAAACAGCCAATCAGCACAGGGCAGAGAAAGTCCAGTCAGGACCGTAGAAAGTTGTTTGAATGTCCAAAGGTCCCTGATTTGGCTGCTTCTGCAGCTGCTCCTATGGGCTGGAGTCTCTGGGTACATCTACACTGCTGCTGGAGATGTAATTTCCAGCTCGGGTAGATGTACACACGATAGCTGTGATCAAGCTGGTTTGCTAAAAATAGCAGGGTAGCCATGGTGGTGTAGGCAGCATCACGAGCTAAGCGCCGGCATACAGTCCCCTCTGAGACACCAAGTCCGTACTCAGTCGACTAGTCCAGTGGTGTGCAAACTTTTCCAGTCGCGCCCACGCCCTTACCATTAAAGGAATCTGTTCATTGTTTCCAAACACTCACGCGCGCGCGCACACACACACACACACTACTGCACAGCCAAGGCCTCCTCTGCACCAGGCTTATTTTATCTTCCAGCCAGTCTTTAACTGCTAGGGCAGGGCCAATACCTTCTCCTCTGCCCCACCCTCCTCTGGTTTTCAGGGTGGGGGAAACCACGTGTGATGGTCTCTGGGTGCGGAGGCAGAGCTGGGCACGGAGCCTGCTGGGGGTGGAAATTGTCGTGGCACACTGATCCACAGGCTGGGTGGCCCGCTGAGGTGAGTCGGGGTGGAGGTGGCGCTCTCTCCCCACCTCCCCTATGGGGGCTGGCCCAGGCCCTACTGCACGGAGCTGGCACAAGCTGCCTGGCATCGCCACTTGCCCCCCAAATGTTCCTCTGGGTGTGCCCCACAGTTTGCACACCACTGGACCTAGCTCATGATGTTGTCCACACTGCAGTGGTTACACTGCTATTTTTAGCGTGCTAGCTTGATCAAAGCTAGTGCTTGTACATCTACCTGAGCTGGGAATTGCATCTCCAGCTGCAGTGTAGACCCAAGCCCACATCTCGTTCCTCCCTGCAGTTTTTTCCCCAAAGCCACATGGCAAGGGGAGGAACCACCTGGGTCCGAGTTTCCCCAGAGTGGGGGTAACACTTAAGTTTAGCCTTAGTTTACTAGAAATCTAGTTTTAAATTTTAAGCCTTATCTAGACTGTTATGTTCTGAGCTAATATCTGCCTTCCATTTCTAACCCGTCAAGGGTACATTCTCTGATCTCTTAAAAATAGGCTCTTAGTTTACTGAACAAATTGAAGTTCTCCTTTCCCCTTTTTCCTCTCACAAGAACACTGACGGACTTCAAGATGTCTCCAGCAATCTGCCCAGCAGACTCTTGTTGACTGAATTTAGATCACTGGTTGTTAGCCATCCAAGGCCAAATAGTCTTGTTGCTGCACAAATCAATTATAAGCAACTGAACAACTTTAAGAAATTCAAAAAGGTGAGTGCATATTTTAAACTGCCACAAGATGGCACTGTTTGAAATAGCTATGTAAGTGCTGCTAATACAATAGAAATGTTATTAGATGAAAGGCATTCTTAGAGATTCTACTTCCACTTATATTTTATTAACTTACTGTCACCATTGTGGTAAAGAGCAAAATACTGTGGCTATTTTTATATTAATTTATCAGACAGATACCAGAGAAGGTTACCTCCCACCCACAGGCAACCCATGGGGGGGCATGCGGAGTCACGTGCCCCCCAGATTTGCTCCTTGCCTTGTACTGAGCATGCTCACATGGACTGAGCATGCCCTCACCCGCGTCTTCCCCCCATCAGCAGGCACGGGTCGTCTCTGCTTCCACCAGATGATTACCTAGAGACCTGTGTTCTTTTTGGAGGCTTGTGCAGTTCTTACTCAAGCTGACTCATTAAATGATACTGTGATCTTGAACAGTATTATAACTTCAGGTTGTATCTCCTCTTAGGCTTATTGTGTCACTTTCAAATAACCTATTGAGAACATATATTGGCTTGAAGTTTTACGTTTTGACTACGAAAATTTGGATTTCTAAACATACTACTAAAATGCATGTCTTATAAAACTAAGATCAACTGGGTTCTGAGAGTGACTTTTACAAAACTTTGTGTTCATTGTAGGAATATAGCTTCAGCCCAGAATTTAAAGAGAAAGTGCAGTGTAATCTAAGATATGCAATACACTACATTTAAGTAAAAAATGTAAATGCCTTTAAATGGACATGGTCATCTTGAAAATCACATGTGTATGAAAATATTGTACCTACCATAGTTCCAAGTAGCATTTTAAAATTGTTCAATAGAACATGCAATATCTTTGAATGTATCATCCTTTCCGTTCTGCATTACAAGTTCTTCTCTACATCAGACTGGATTAGAAACTTAAAATATCAGTTTCTGTTGTTTTCAAATGCATTTAAAATGTATTAGCTTATTAATTTAACAGATTAAAAATATAACTAGTCACAGGTCTTTCTTTGGGGGGAGGTTTGCAGGTGGTGTGCTATTTAAGTAGAACTATTCATTGCACAGATACTGTTAGACAAATTGGATGAAAGGTATTCTGCCACTGTAAATTTATTAGAGGTGACTACTCTTGTTTTGCACGGTTGTCAGCCTGCACTGTAACAGCAAACATTTCTTGTCCAACAGGTACCTTATCCTGGAGCAGGACAACTTCCACACATTATTGGAGGATCAGATCTGATAGGTCACCATGCCAAAAAGAATTCACAGTTGGAAGAATGGTTAAGGCAGGAAATGGAGGTAAGGAATTCTTTCCAGGCAACAAAACAACTGCAGTCCTTTCCAAGAACAGGGCAGCTCTGTACTAAAAGTTGAGCCTATATGCTGAACAAATCTGCCACTTAACACATCCAAAAAGGTGTTAAGGATGTGACCCAAATAAACAAAAGGGGTTCAATGATAAGGCTGACATTCTACTGATTCTTTTGGATAAATCTGATATGTAATATTAATAAAAATTTTAATAAAATGTTTAAATCTTTCACACTGTCGGTACAGAGGAGACTGCTGTAAAGGAAAAGGCACTGACCTAGGAGAAGTTTATTTTACTCAGTCATTAAAATCACTATTTTATTGAAGCTCAGCCCTGCATGAATTCTGAGTGTGGCAGTGAAAGTTTTTACATTAACAAGCTCAGCGACCTCAGCGTTCAAGGTGCTCAGTGCAGCACTGCTGATGGTCTGCTCACAGACTAGAATGCAGTTGATATTCAGATGAAAAATATATAAGAGATGTGCATGTTGTAATCAGGAGACTGAATGTTGTGTTTTTCACTAGAGAACATATTGCCATTTGTATGTAATTTATGTCTTGCTGTAGCAGTTCTCAACTTTTTCATTTTGTGTGCTGCTTCTTTAAAAAAAGCTCCTCTCACGGGCCACATCCCATCCCAATCTCCCACTCTACATTCCATATCTTTCCTGTGGTATCAGTATTACTTGGTTAATTGGAAAGGTAATAAGACAGTATTAAGGAGAAAATGTGATAGGTGGGACTTCTTGAGTTTTTTACTCCATTCCCACTTCTGTATTTGCTGTTTATTTCCTCTCCCTGATTTTAGCAGTTGATTTCAGCGCTAGATTTTACCTTGCAGTAAAGCACTGCATAATCTCGCCTGGCCACGTTGAAATTTGTTGTCTTGGGTGCTTGTTATCCTAATTTGGCATCCACCACAAATTTACTCATTGTTGAATTTATATGAGGCACACCTATGAAGGACATGAGCAGTGGAGCAGAGAGGTTCTGACTCCTTTTTCCCCTCTCACCCTCCAGCTCAGGTAGCTAAAAAAGCCTTTGGAAGCCCTAAAATTAACCATAACCTGGATTCCAATTAACAAAGTATCCCCTCTTGAAAACAGCCATAGATGCTTTACTCCCATGACAGAAGCAACTCCGGTTAGAAGAGGTCAGCAGACTACAGTTTGAGAGTATGCTGTTACCCAAATTTTTTAAAGTTCAGAATATAGTTTGCGTAAAAAGGTACCATGCCAGCATGTTGGCCTAACCCTGAGAGATGCTAAAGCTCTGCGGCTTGTATTGTCTTTAGTTGTGGATGTTCAGCACTTCTCCGGCTCAACTCTTAAAAATTTTATAGCAACACAAGGGATCAAACTCATAGGACAGTTTAAAATGGTGAAATTTGCAGCTCCTTTTGCCCCTTCCCTTTTCGCCACCAAAGCATACATGTTACACTTAGATAGCATAGATTTTAACTTAGACTCACAACATACCACTTACACACCCCTGTAACTCATCACCTGTATTAGAGAGACTTAATTACTCAAATTCAAAGTTGGTGCTGTGCAGACTCAGTTGCTGAAAGATGATAGCACTGAATGAAAAAACTCTGTAGCAGGAAGGTATAGGTAGTTGTAAACTAAAGTAGGTCATCCATTACTTTAACTTGCATCTCCTTGGCATAAGTTACATTAACTTACAGCTACTTGACACTGTGTAAAGGAGTCTGCCTTCACACCACCGCTGAACTAGTTTCAGAGTTTAAAACTAATTGTGACAGAACTCAAAATTTTGACCAATAGGTTTCTGCTTGTTGCAGTTTTAGTAGGACATTCCTGCTTCTGAAAGTTCCGTCATGACAAGTAATGTAAAGCCCTGGATATTTTTCCATCCCCTTCATTTTTGTCTGACACAGGACAGCTACACTGTGCAGTTAGCCCAGGTAATTGGCACCTGGGTCTGAGCATTTGCATTAGCCTAGCCTGAGTATGAGCATTCCCACAACAAAGCTGTCCCCCTGTTACTGTGTCCTCATTATTACTGCCCTCATCCATGAATGTCTGGGAGCACAGTCTATGGGTTTTTTGTGCAGAAACTCTCTAATATTCTTTTCCAGTAAATTGTGGGAGAACTTCTCGGTCCTTTGGAGGAAATTGTGGGAAAGGGTTTTGTAAGACTTTCAGCACACGAGTGGTCTTTCCTGCATCTTCACTGCAAAGTATGCAAGTTCTAGCCTGAGCTAAATCACAGCTCTGGCTTTAATCCGTACCCCTACCCATGCAAGCAAGCATAAATTCAAAGTCCAAATAAGCACATGCTTGAGGGTTTTGTGTGTGGATGAGAGTGGTTTGGGCAAAAACATGTAAGAGCATGGTCTAAGACTAACTACAGTGATGACATTCCCACAAGTGTCTGATCGTTTTTCAGATTGGTTTCTGTAACTATGGTCTACTTTAAGAATTGAAAACCATAATCTGACATTCCTGTAAAACGCATTGTATGTGACGTATTCACAGCAAGATGTCTCAGTACAGGACTGTTGTGTTAGTATGAACAATATTGAAGAGATTTACTTTATTTTGTCAGGAACAGAATCGGCATGCAAGAGAGGAATCACTCGCTGATGATCTCTTTAGGTAAGGGATTTTTTTGTTAGTGCTTTTAAAAGGTCTGATATGTTATACACCTCACTTATTTTCTGGACAAATTTCAGTTTTCTAATTAAACCATGATGGCTAATGCTCCATTGGCGGCCTCCTTTCTTGATACCACATCTGAGTAGAACGTGGCATCCTCTTCTGCTCTTTCCTAACTTACTTTATACCTTAAACTTCATCAGTTCCTGAGCCATACATGACTCCTTTTAATGTAATGTTCAAAACTACTAGTCTTATTGGTAATTAGAGCCTTTTCAGATAGAATTGTTGCTGCGTCATCTCCGTCCTATAAACTCCACTTTAGCCCCTAATTCCAGGAACCTGGGGATTAAGTTTGAATCAAGAGTCACTTTCCTACTTGTGAGGATGCAGCTTTCCTTCCTGCTATCAGAGTTTGCCAGTGCCTGTCTCCCTATTGGTTGGAAGGTTTTGCTCTGGCTGAACCAGAGACTCCCCTTTCCAACATAAACAAAACTAGTCCAAAATAAAAGCAGATTGCTTGGGTTATAGTGCTGTAATCAGAGTCTGGGGGGACCCTCTCCATTTTTCACAGGGGGGCTCATACCTTTTCACACAGAGATCCTAAATGGGCCTTTGCCCCATTCATTTCCAGGCTTCTGCCCAGGCTGCTGCTTCGGCCCTTTCCTCATGAAAAGATCAGTACTGCGCTTCCCTTGTTTCCTTTTTGGTAGAGCGACTCTCAGCAGGTCTTGCCATCTTCCTGATCTCTCTCTCCAGAATAAAGCAAGCCTTTTTATACCCAGCATGCTGTTAGAAGCCTACAGTTCCCCTGGTTCTGTGGCTCCTGATTGGACTACAAGGCACAGAATCCCTCTGTTTGGGGCAGGGCCCATGCCACAGGAGTGAGGTGACATCTCTTATCCTGGCTCAAGACATTGTTATGCTGCTGTATCTTGTACGTCTGTAAATCTACCCTGTGTAAAGCACCTTCTCTTCCATAAACCCTCTTCACCAGTTTTCTGCTGATATCTTCATTTTACTTTTACTCCTCCTCCCCTGTCTGCCCTCTTTAGAGACATTAGATTCTTCTTCCACACTATTCCTTGGCCAGTTCATTCTCTGCCTCTCTACATCCTCTTTTCCTAGGCATGAGTCTTAACCCAATCTCTAATAATAAACAAAAATGGAAGCCCACTGCTAGGCAGTCTGCTTCTCTTTATTCAGTTTTTCTCTTTAAAAGTCACTGTATTTTTCTGCACTGTTCCAACATATGCAAATTGTATGATATGTATTGTAAACTATATGGTTTACTTGTATGTTTATGTATAGATTGTAACCTGGAATGAAGTATTTTGTGATTATTGCTAGAGCTCTTTTTCCCCCCCAGTAATTACAAGAGTGACTCTCAATTCACACACATTCACTTAGTTAAATCCTTATTTGCAACTTCACCAACAATATGATTGTTTAGATTGAATTAATTTTTCATTGCTCGTTAAACCTGCTACTGTTGGAACTTTTAACTAGGGGTGGCAGAACCCAGAAAAATTCCAGCTCTGATTGTTTAATTTTACAGTTGGCAAAATTATGCAAAAATCACAATTTGCAGAATCCAAATTCCTCTGTAAAAAAAGAACAGAAATGCCTGGGCAGTAGAATAATGTATGAGTAGGGCCCTAACATTCACAGCCATGCAAAACGCGTCACGGACCGTGAAATCTGCTCTTTTGTGTGCTTTTACCCTATACTATACAGATTTCATCGGGGAAACCAGTGTTTCTCAAATTGGAGGTCCTGACCCAAAAGGGAGTTGCAGGAGGGGTCACAAGATTATTATAGGGGGGTTGCGGTATTGCTACCCTTACTTCTGCGCTGCCTTCAGAGCTGGACGGCCGAGAGCAGGGGCTGTTGGACGGACACCCAGCTCTGAAGGCAGCGCCTTGCCAGGATCAGCGCAGAAGTAAGGGTGGCAATACATAATATACCATACCACCCTTACTTCTGCACTGCTACCTTCAGAGCTGGGCGGCCAGAGACTGGCGGTTGCTGACTGAGGGCCCAGCTCTGCAGGTAGCAGAGCAGAAGTAAGGGTGGCAATACGTCACCCTTACTTCTGCGCTGCTGATGGTGGTGGCTCTGCCTTCAGAGCTGGGCTCCCGGCCACCAGCAGCAGCGCAGAAGTAAGGGTAGCAGTACCACACACACACCTTTTTGGGTCAGGACCCCTACAATTACAACACTGTGAAATTTCAGTTTTAAATAACTGAAATCATGAAATTTATGATTTTTTAAATCCTTTGTGAAATTGACCAAAATGGACCCTGAATTTGGTAGGGCCCTAGATATGAGACTAAAACTTGTGCTTAGTCTACAAGTATTATTGCAAAACTGAATTAAAGAATGCTGTTTGCCATAGAATGTTTGTTGTGAAGTGGTAGTAAGAAGAGCACAAATCATCAAAGAATGCCACAATTTTTATCATCAAACATGTTAGAATACTTTCTTTGTTGCCTTTATAAAACACCCTTCATCATAGTATTCTACCGAGGCTGCAATTTATTTTTATGCTGCTTTTGATATTTAGTTTTAATATTTACTAGCGGTTCTGTGTACTCCCTAGCTACCACATCTGGTCCCCCTGTCAAAGACTCTGCATGTCCCTTCTTCCCACCCACCCTTATTTTTTCTTTTTCTTTGTCTGGGAGCTAATAGTTTGCAGTATTGTTGTACCCATCTTAGGAGATACTAGATCATTCACAATGTCAACATGTTAAAATCTACTGGGAGGATGGGCAGAGGTGAGGGGTGCAGTGGATGTTATGCTGAAAGATGGTGATGGCTGCCGTCAGCCAGTTCTTTGATCTCTAGAGAATTACAGAAGTTGCTGGGTCTAATAACTATATGCAAGGGGCTCACCCATTTTCCCTTCCCAATTTTCACCACAATCAATAGGCTGCTGCCCATTGCTGCCTAGAACATTCCCTGGGAGTTTGGAATTGATCGGATGCAAAACTCAAAAAATTACAGCATTATATCCATGTGTACCTCATGAGAGGCACTAAATTCCCCAGTAGCAACTACGTAGTATTGCCAGTTTCCAGAGATGAAACATCGAGTTGGACCCACAAAAATCATGATTGGCCCAAAAATCATGACATTTTAAAAAAAGATTATATTGCGTTTTTTAGGCCAGTCTCTTGATTTTTGAACTCCCCTACCCATTCCCAGGGTATGTGTATGGGACAATTAGTATTGCCCACTCTCCCACAAGTACCAGATAAGGTGATTTTGGCCCTGCTGCAGGAGCTCTCACTACCACATCTGCCTGTCTCCTGCCCAACGGTTAATCCTGTCCTCCAGTCCCCCATCAGTTCTCTCCCCACCCAGTCCCCTCAATTCAGCCATCCCTCAGTTCAGTCCTCCAGTCCCCATCAACACCACCTCTATCAGTTCAGCTCCCGTACTCCAGCGACCCCCGCCGCCCTCAGTTCACCCTCCCCAGCACTCATCCCATCTGTTCAGAACCCACCATCAATACAGCGCCCCCACCCTCCTCACTGCAATCTCTAGCCTCACCTCTGCTCTTTAGTGTTCTTCACCCTCCCCAGGCCTGGGAGGCTGCAGTGGGGTCCCTTCTCCTACTTCCCAGGTTGGTAGGGGAGCAGCTGCCCTGGCCACGCCTGGGGCGGCTGACAGGATTTCAAAGTAAAATTAAGCCTCACTTTTAGAACTCTTAAATGGCAGGGGTTTTTTTTTGTTTGTTTGTTTTTCCAATTGATTCAATTGCTTATTTGAGGATTGGCCCTCTCCCTTCTTTATGTCCCAGGGCTCGGCTACACTAGAGCAGCGGTTCTCAAATTTCATTGCACCGTGACCCCCTTCTGACAACAAAAATTACATGACCCCAAGAAGGGGGACTGAAGCCTGAGCCCTGCCACCTGTGGGGGGTCGAAGCCAAAGCCTGGGGGCTTCAGCCCTGGATGGTGGGAGCTGTAACCTGAGCCATGCCACCCGGGGCTGTAGCTGAAAGCTGAGCCCCACTGCCCAGGGCTTAAGCCTTCGGGCTTCGGCTTCAGTCCCGGGCAGTGGGGCTTGGGCTTCAGCTTCAGCCCTGGGCCTGAGCAAGTCTAATGCCAGCCCTGGTGACCCCATTAAAATGGGGTCGCGACCCATTTTGGGGTCCTGACCCATAGTTTGAGAACCGCTGCACTAGAGAGTTTGTACTCTCTACTAGTGTAGCTGCTCTTAAGCTGACAGGAGAGAGCTCTCCTGTCAGCTTTACTACTGCAGCCCCCGCGAGCGGTGGTAGCTATGTCAGCGGGAGAGGCTCTTCCATCGACATACCATTGTCCACACCGGCACTTATGTCAGTGTAACTTATGTTGTTCAGGGGGATGATTTATTCACCCCCTTGAGCGACGTAAATTATGCCAACGTTAGCTGTAGTGTAGACATAGCCCCATATGAAGTTTCTTTTCCCTGCTGGGGTGTAGCCACAGTGTCTCTTCTCCCCACTGTTAGTTTGATAGCTTTGTTTATCTGATATGTAAATAAATTCTCATTGTCTTTCAAAGTACTTTGGAATTAACTGCCAGATAGAGAAACCACATTCCTTCCTTGAGGGTGGGGTAACTCCTGTTTGACTGGAAATATGAAAAAAAATCCTGACATTTGAGAGTTCTATTGAGAGATCATGTGTGAGGCTTAATTTTACTCAGAAATCGTGACTCTCACGATCAGTTTACGAGAGTTGGCATGTCTAACTGGGTGGGTGAACCCAGACAATAGTTACGCTCTCGACAACTCTCACAGGAAAATGATAAAAGACAAAAACACCTTGTCACCTCTGAGAGAATGATCACTTAGCAAAAAGTGTTCAATCTCTGACCTATCAGTCCTCATCCTCAAAGGAAACCTGCACAACGTTTTCAAAAGACAAGCTTGGGAACTTAAATTCATAACTTTGCTAGACACTAAAAATCATGGACTGAACAGAAAGAGTGGATTTTATGGCTTATTACAACAATCTGTAGCCCACAAACTGCCTGCCCAGCTGCTCCCCACCGAACTGGAGGGGTAACAAGCCACTTCACCTTAAATCATAGGCACTGGCTTAATCAGATGCTGGGGGATGCTTGACCCCCCGCTCTCCCTCAGGCCCCACCCCTTCCCCTGCCCTTGCCCCGCCTCTTCCTGCCCCACTCCTCCCCCTCCCTCCCATTTCCTCCTGCATACTGCAGAACAGCTGATCGAGGCAGGTGGGAGGTGCTGGGAGGGTGGGAGAGGAGCTGATCAACGGGGCTGCTGGGGAGCGAAGGGGGAGGCACTGATCTGCGCGGCTGCCGGTGGGTACTGAGCACCCGCTATTATTTTTCCCATGAGTGCTTCAGCCCTGGAGCACTCATGGAGTCAGCGCCTATGCCTTGAATGGTCCCTTGAAATATGTGTTAACTACTTATGCTGAATTATCTGTTACACCTTGTATTTAGCTGTTACACTAAGCACGTTTCCCAGACCTGAAGAGCTTTATGTATCTTGAAAGCTTGTCTTTCACCAAGAAGTTGGTCCAATAAAAGATACTATGTCACCTACTTTGTCTCTCTAATATCCTGGGACCAACACAGCTACAACACTACTGCATACAGCATTATAGCCAGCCAGACAAGCGGAGAAATGCCATCAAGTTGAGTGTAGGGCTATGTCTACACTGGCAACTGAACGACAAAACTTTTGTCTTTCAGAAGTGTTAAAAAAACACCCCCCCAAAAGACAAACGTTTTGTCGACGACAAGTGCTGGTGTGAACAGCTCTTTGGCGAGAGCCGATAAAGAGCAGCTACACTGCGTGCCTTTTAGCGACACAGCTGTAGCTACACAACCCTGTCGCTAAAAGCTGCGTAGTGCAGAAATAGCCAAACATCCTGCTCCACTCAGCCAAAAAGTATATGCTGGATCTTTAGTTTCCCTATCTGAGGGAACTAGTAGTAGCTGTGGGACTTGAATTGCATCAGTTATGTGTAATTTAAACAAAATGTGATTTCTTTAAAAAAAAAAAAAAAAAATCCTGTATGCTATTACAGAACACATTTGTTATTCACCAGCTGAACTAGTGATTTGCGGTATAAAGTATTATAGCATATTCAAACAAGTAAGGAGCCTTTCCAAATTCTGAGTGTATTAACAGCATGCAGCCTGTGATAGTTATTCACAGTTCATTTCCTCCCCCCTCCCCCCCCAAAAAAAGGATAAATGAGTTGCCTAGGAACAGCAATGACCTGTAATACATTTCTAGTTAAGTGGTGATGTAAATTGGCTCACAAGTTGAGACATTTTCCTGTCTGAGAGAGAGAGAGAGAAGAAAGCTTAGTAAATGGAATCAGATTTAGGGGAAGTAAAACTGCCTGATCACTCGGTTGTGGCTGTAACCTATTCATCTGTGAAAACAAAGCAGGTTAGAAGCAAAGTTTTTTGTTTGTGTTTTGGCCTGGGGGTGGGAGGCAGGCCTGGAGAGAAAAAAGGACAAGGTTTGAATTCAAAGTATAAACACATTCCGGGGCACTAGTTAATCATTTTGTACCCTATCAAAAAAGTTCATTAAAAGATCAAGCAGTAGGCAGGAGCTGGAGAAGAATCAAGTGTGGGAGGAGAAGTGGAAAGAATTGGTAAATGCTTCTGTGAACTGAGCTGTAGCATATGACATGGTCACTATCGGTAACTTCATTGTTATTGAGAGGAAGTCCTTTCAGTATTAGTCTGTGAAAATTCTTGCAGCAAGAAATAGCAGCTTTCATGGTGAAATATGTCTACAGATTTTCATTTGATTGCAATATTAAAGCATCTAAAAATCCCAGAAGATAGTAAGTTACCAAGTTACTTTTAACCAAAACCACTCACAAATTCTAGAAATGGCACACAGTCCAGGTGTAACCCTTTTTATTTTACTGGCAATAAAAAACACAGTGCTGCAAGAGGCTGAACACCCTCAACATCTATTGACTTAGGTGGGAGTAGAGCGTGCTCCTGCCCCCATCAGAAAATGAAATGTCCACTTTTAACTGTTTAAATCAAACATTTAGCTTTGAATATCTGAAATAAATAGTTGGTATCTGTTTACTTATAACATTTTTTCCCTTTTACTGCAGATATGATCCTAATGTGAAAAGGAGAAGATAAATTCTCTTGAATTTACAATGAACCTACAGCAAAATCATCTTGACACCATGGTTGCTGCTTCCAGTGTACAATATGTATAGGAGGTTTAAATTCTCTTGTTATAACAATTGTTTTAAGTCCTGCTTTTATTAAAGGAAAACAGAATCCGTTTTATGTTGTTTTGGCATTTCTAGAGTACACATTTCTGGTTTCAAGACTTCAAACTCCTTTGCTTCAAAGCAGTGCTATAGTACAACATTATAGATATTTAAGGCTTCACTTCAAGCCTTCTTCTGTCTGTTTGAGATACACTTCTGCTATTACTCTGTTGTTCTGAAAAAAGACCCAGTTAATTTGTTTAGCTCTTTGTGTAACAGTAATAATTTGCTGTACAATAGGGCTCAAAGCACAAACACTTAAACTACATAAAACAGACATGGTCGGGGCAGCAATCTCTCTTATTGGACCAACTTTTGTTGGTGAAAGAGATTACCTCACCCCCATCCCTCTTATGGCGCTAATAACACTGTAAACTACCTACAGTGGTTTAAAACAACCCTTTAATCTTAAGGTGACAACTTCAGCACCTGTTTGCATTTCTGCAACAGAACTGGCTCTGTTATTTAAAGTGAAACTTTATAAGCCTCTTTTAATGGGATGCAGGGTTTTATTTTAAATGTTATCTATGACTCTGCCCTCATTAGGTTTGAAATAGTAGCCACAGCAGTAAGGATGGTTGTGGATGGCAGAATTCTAAAACTTTCCTACCCACTAGAGACAGGGATTTTATTCTGACAACTATGTTATCCAACTGGTAAACAGCATTGTTGTTAGTGTGCTCAGAATAAAATCTCTCTTCACACCAGGTGAAGGAAAGCCGGTCTAGAACCTGCTAGCTATGATTCGACTTGTGGTTAACAGGTCTGGTTAACTTTTTATTCACATGGTGCACAGCATTCGATGTAGTCGAAGAAACTTAGGTCTGTGGATGGCAGCAGTATTCACACTTGTGATTTATTTTTTGATTACTGTTAAAGAAAACTGTGCCCAACTTATTCAGAGTCAGAAAATGAGGTTCCATGTGTTAGCAAGATGGTTACTGCCACTTTGAAATGATCAATGTAGGTTACAGCTGTCATATATAGCCAGCTATCAAACATACATTTATTTTTACATGCCAAGGATTCAGAGTTTTTTTTAAATACCCAGATACTGCTTTTTCATAACAGGCTCGATCTAGATTCCAATATATAACTTTAAGTCAGCAATAGTCAACTGCTACTCTTGTGAGAGCACTGGATGAGACATTATGAATACATTATACCCTAAGTATCTGGCTCTTAGGCCTTTGCCCCAACCACTGAATGAGAGATCTAACATTAAACCCTTGACTTCTCTTAAATTGTTAAACAAAATAATCAGCATGCTGCTGTTTCCAAAGCTACTTAGATTTTTCAAAGTTGGTGTCTTCAAAGCTGAGGAGAACCTGAGCTTTCCAGTATTGTCATGTACCAAATTCATGAGTGAAGTTACTGTACTGTTTTATAATGAAAATATTCATTTTAAACAAAACTTCAATGAAATCAGATCACCTCAAATATCCATTTTTAAACTTTCATCATTTGTTCGGTTCCAGTAGGAATAAGTGTTGTATCAATGAGTTTGAAACAATACAAAGAATCAAAACCTGCTTACCTATTTATTGGGACCAATTGTGTTAAAAGTCATCACAGGCACTAGGAATCTTTTCAAAACCCACTTCACCGCTATTTCTCTAATCTCAGTAAGCCCTCCTAACACAAATTAAAAGTATATAATGTATAGGCCCTAGTCAAACACATCTGCAGGTGCTTCTTTTAAAGCACATGTCAAGGGAACTATTCCCAAGTGTAAATGTACTCGTGTGTGGCTAAAGCATTTGACTTATAAAGACATCTGTTCTTTCACATTGTGTGGAAAAAGAAGGCACAAGATGAAACTGAGAAGGTGGTGGGGGTTTTTTGGTTTTTTTTTTTTACATTTCTCCATTATCATTCACAAATGGCTTGCCCACTTCTTCCTCAGGACACATACAGCTCAAGCACTTTGAAGAGAATGCTAAGAATTGCTCAACCTGCCAGTAGCTCTGCAGGTGCAGGGAGCCAGATTTTATTTATTTATTTTGTGGCTGTAATGAGCATTTATCCCTTTTTCTATTCCTCTTCTGGGAAAGTTTCCTTCTGCACAGGTTACTTATCTTCCAATGAGGAGAAATGCCGTTTCTTATCTTGACTCCTTATACAAACAGAAAGGGGCTCTGTCCAAGAAAAATAAGCAGAAGTCATCCAAAAGCCACAAGACAACTTCTTCATTCTCTATAAGGGAAGGGGGATGCTTGTGAACCAAGGAAGAGAGAGAATAATTATGGACAAAGTTGAGGCCATGAAGAAAAGGTTAACAGTGGAGCAGTGGTAGTCAGGAGAACTTAGCTCTGCCCCGACCTGCTAGGGGACCTTGGTCAAGTCCATTCATTGCTCTGTGCTTCAGTTTCCCTACCTGAGAACCAGGGCTAATAGCCCAGATTCACAAAGGCATTTAGATACCTACGTCTAACATTTTCAGCACCACTGGTATTTTGCAAAGCCCCCAGTCAGCCGCCATCTAACCTAGTAGGAGCCTAAGGGACCCAAGTGCCTAAATGCTGACACATTGTGGATTGGACCCTAACTCAAGTTGAGCCCCAAAGCAGGATTCTCAAACCTATCTTGCTACTAGGGCCTGATCCCATAGGCTCTGAGCACACCTAAAACCCTCTGAGCACACTTAAGATCTGATACCTATCACACAAGACAACTGGAAGCATGCATGATTCAGAGCAGGAACTTGAAGCCAGGTGAATGCCCTAACCACCAGGATATAGGGCAGCGGTCAGCAACCTTTCAGAAGTGGTGTGCCGAGTCTTCATTTATTCACTCTAATTTAAGGTTTCGCGTGCCAGTAATACATTTTAATGTTTTTAGAAGGTCTTTTTCTATAAGTCTATAATATATAACTAAATTATTGTTGTATGTAAAGTAAATAAGGTTTTTAAAATGTTTAAGAAGCTTCATTTAAAATTAAATTAGAATGCAGAGCCCCCCGGACCTGTGGCCAAGACTCGGGCAGTGTGAGTGCCACTGAAAATCAGCTCGTGTGCCACCTTTGGCATGCGTTCCATAGGTTGCCTACCCCTGCTATAAGGTATTCTGAAATGAGTCTCAATCTCTGATGTCAAGAGCTGTTTGTATAAATAAATAGTCATTAGGTCACAGAGAGAAACTGACTATAGCCCATTGGTTAGGGCACTCACCTCGGATGTGGGAGACTCAGATTCAAGTCCCTGCTCCAATGAATATTTAATTACTTATACAGTAGAACTGCTCCAATAGCAGAGAGTGAGAGTCCCAGCCCAAAAGTTACTCATCTGGGAAGTGGGATATGCTCTGGAGCAGGTACTTGAACCCAGTTCTCCCACATCCCAGGTGAGCGCTTTGACAACCAGCAGACAGCGTGTCATCAAAAAATGTCAAAGCTGTTTGTGCTCTCCCCCGTCCCTCCTCGGGCAGTCTTTAGTGCTTGTGTTGTGCTTCCCCTCCACCTCTCCATGGGGGCTGACAGGTATCAGGTCTTACACACGATCGCCAGCAGGGCCTTATCACCCACTCGCTAACACTCAGGTTTCTTGGCTGTTCTCTAGCCCTCTCATCTTCTGCCGGGGCCCCATCCCATTCCACAGCTCACCCCCTTTGGCTCCTTTCTCACTTTTCTTCCCCTCACAATATAAGCATCCTTTAGTCTCCCTCATCTTAAATACCCTAACCTTGACCTCCAATTATTATGACTTGCCTTTCCAATTATTGCCCAAACTGACAACTGCATTTTCAATCATTGCCTGAAATACCTATCTTCTACCCTCTTCATTCCACTGTCCTCTTCCTGGACAAAGCTGAGGGCTTCTGCTCCATCTTCACTCTCCTTTTGAGGGCTTATGACACTTTATGACCATCTAGTACTTGAAATCCTGTCCACCATTGGCTTTCATGACTCCATCCTCCCATGGCTCTCCTTTGCTACTATGTTTATTCCCTTTAGCATGTCATTTGCTGGGTCTTTCTTCCCATTCCCCTCTCTTTCAGTAGCTGTTTCCCACATATCTGTCCTTTGTGCTCCACAGCCTGTACGAAATGTCTAGGCAATCTTACCCACTTTCATAGGCTCTGACCACCATCTTTGTAATTATGACTCAAATACATGCCTCACTACTTAGGACCTATTCCACACCTTGGCTCAGTGGTTCTCAACCAGCAGTACATGTACCCCTGGGGGTACTCAGAGGTCTTCCAAGAGGTACATCAACTCATCTAGATATTTGCCTAGTTTTACAAGAGGCTACATAAAAAGCATTAGTGAAGTCAGTACAAACTAAAATTTCATAGACAATTTGTTTATACTGCTCTGTACACTATATACTGAAATGTTAGTACAATATTTATATTCCAATTTTATAATTGTATGGTAAAAATGAGAAAGTAAGCAATTTTTCAGTAATAGTGTACTGTGACACTGTATTTTTATTGTCTGATTTTGTAAGCAAGTAGTTTTTAAGTGAGGTGAAACTTGGGGGTATGCAAGACAAATCAGACTCTTGAAAGGGGTACAGTAGTCTGGAAAGATTGAGAACCACTGTCTTGGCTGATCTGGCAACTTAAATTGAACATGGCAAACAGTGAACTCCATTGTTCCTGCCAAAACCTTTTTTCTCTGTCACTGTTGATGGCCACCAACATCCAAGACTCCATATGGATTTTCAACACTTCCCTTTCTGAACCCTTGTAACCAAGCTATATTCAAATCTTGCAATTTCTCCATTTCAATATCTTCAAGAACCAACCTTTTCCTTGTCCAGATTGTCAAACCTCTTGTTCAAACTCATATCATGACTTGACTATTTGAACCACCTCCTCTCTAACCTTAATTACAACCACCTTGGGTCCATTGAAAACACTGCTGCCAAGCTGTTTCCTAGTTGATCCTGTCACTATGCTTCAAATCCTTCCTCTGGTTCCCCTTTTTCCACTATATCGAAGACAAACATTTGGTCCTTACCTTCAAAGCCCTTCACAATTTAGCTCTTATCTACTTAGGTGCTTTTG